GTATTATGCTCGAGTCCGATAATATCATGCGTGTAGAGTTCACCTACAGCAGTTGCCACATACTTCCTTGATCAGATGATGAGATGAATGCATTGATTAAAGACGTAAAATTCCGATAATTCACCAAGATCTCTAACATTGCCAAGGCTTTAAGCACTTCGATAAGTCACCAAATGGGCGAAAAGCAGATATTGAAGCAAATATACTAATTCCCACACCAACCCTTTGTATTTTATATAAATCATGTTTCATATTTGGAATGGATGTGAAGTTATTTATTAATCACCTCACCTCATTAGTAAAATTTTGTAATTGATGTATACTACCATTAATCGATATTAACCGTTATTTGAGCCAGTATAAAATTGTCAATACTATGCGGGTCCTATAGCAATAGGGTATGTTACCAGCAAGTATGGACTAGTACAGTCGAAGAACGAAATTATACAGTTGAATTCCTTTTTCCATATAGTTGAGTCAGTTGCTAGATGAGAAGAGGTGTAAAGGAACGAAGAATCAACAGTAAAAACCCTAATGCACACAGTTCCTAGGAGATTTCGGATGTAGTCTGTTAAAGCAATATTGCACAAAACAAGGAATTAGTGGAAATGGTCTTAAGCCTCTGGATCTGGAGTGAAGGTTTTCTTATGCTTCCCATGTCTGTTCTTCCCATTCCCATTTTTTTGTTTACTAACTGAACCCTCTTGAGCACTGCACATCTGAGATTTCATCTTAAGACCCAGTTTCTTCGAAACATTTTCCCAAGCACTCGAACCCTTAACCCGTCCCAACTTTTCAATTTCCTGCCTCATAGTCAAACACTCCTTCTCCAGCTCACATACTCGCATCCTCATGTGGTCCATTCCGACTTTCAACACCTGGTTCTCTCTCACAGCTGTTGTCCATCCTCCTTCCGATGACCCTGCAACCCCACTTCTTAACTGCCTTGACCCGTCAAGATTATCAGAAACAAGAAAGCAACCTGCAATGGACGTCCGAAGTTGTAGCTGCTCAAAGAAGAGGACTTGGACTACTACTCTCAGTGGCAATCTCTCATTCTGTGCAGCATGGGTGCAAGCTTCCAATGATAGCTTCTGGCAGTCCATCAGCCTGCATAGTTGTTCTCGCTCTGACTCTCCCAACCATGGGTGTGACTGCATGGTTTTCAACCACAAAAGCAAAATCATAAGCATCAAATAAGGAACCAAGAAATAAATCAATCACACAACACTTATTCGGCTGTTCAAGTCTAAATTTGGATAGGGAGAATAGTGCATGAGCTTGAGTGAAAATAGTTTAATGATTTTTGGCGTTAGACTAGCACTTTCTAGCCATATGCCAAGTTAAAGAAATATATATAGTGATATTGTGATTTAGAGAACATCAGTGAAGCAGTGTGTACCTTCAAATAAATATCTATTGCACGATAGAGACCGTCATCCAAGGGCCTGGAGTAATCAGGAACAGAAGCAGCAAGAGCTTGAAACTTGGGAAGCTTCAAATTAACATCAGGGGCAACTTCAGCAAGATACCCGTCAATCAGCTTAGCTACCATCGTGATTGGTGTTAATGAAGGTGACCCAATCAACTGGCCATCATCAACTGAACATGGCGAGGCTCCACCTGTAATCTGATCCATGGCAAGGAAGTGCTCAAGAATCCGTTGCACACAATCAACATTGTATAGTGTCTCCATGGAATAAGAGAAATTAGGCATCAAGAGATCTTCTACTGTTGCCTGATCAAGCTGCATCCCAATCCTCCTTTCCAAGTTCGATATGCAAGAAGAGCTTGCTCGAAGAATCATGGCTGTTCGAAGTAGTCCAAAGAGGAACTTGGTTGGGACAAGGCCCTTCTGCATTGGAAGTAATCTATCAATATCTTCCAGCAGAAATCTCTGCTCTTCCTCTGACACCATGGCTCCCAAGCCCACAGGTTCAAGTCGACTGCTAGAATCATTTACAACCTGATGCCGGTTCAACACAGGTAGGTACTTTCTAGCATAAGAAGTAAGGGAACCAGAAATAACTTCTTGTCTGATACCACGAGATTCCATGACTGCAATCAACCTCTTATACAGGGGAAAACTTAATGTTGATACATCCTCGTACCACCAATCTATACTTGAGTTTTTAGGTCTAGCCCCAGTACTTATCCCATTCCATAAGACACTCCCGCCAGGGCTCTGCATTGGTCCCCCATGTTCCGTTATTGGCCACCCAAAAAGATTTGGGTCAGTGGAAGCCTTCATAGCTAGGGACTCAATGCACCTTTTTGTAATTTGGAGTTCATCAGCATAGGTAAGGATGTCATCACAAGTTTGAAGAGCCCTTAGAGAGTCTTTCCAATTTCGCAGGACTACTTGATTAAGAAATGTTTCTGTCTGTGAAATAAGATTGCCCTCCCCATGTTCCTCAGTCATCTCGAGATGCTCAGCAGCACATCGAAGGTATACTACATTAGAAGCAGTAAGTTCAAGTTTCACCCCATAACAAAACTTGGCCACAAATTCAAATGTTTTAGGCCCGCCTGGAATGTCAGGAAGATTTATGCATGATTTTTCATCCCCTTCTTCAGATGCTTCAGCAATCAATCTTTCCATAACTCCGCTTCTAGAGAGCAAAGGAAACTGCAGTAAATGATATTGAAAAGCCGTAAGAAATTACAATAGTCATTTTTCAAAAACAGAGATTGCATTTTATTCGTGCCAGTTACTGCATCAACTTTTGCAATACGGGGCCAAACGGTAACCCGTACATAAGGAAAAATAATTGGGAAAATATAACAGTACATCTGATGCTTTGTATAATCCTGATGCAAAAAACCATACGACAAAAGGTCAAGTGCAGGACGGGCTTAAACAGCTTTCTTTAGATAAAATGGTTAGGCCTCACAAAATCAGAAATCTTGAACATAACTCCAATCATCCTAATCCAGTAGAGGCACGATAATACAACCCAACTTTGTGTGCTTAGGACCTAGAGAGTACTGAAAAAAAAATTAATGAGTAGCTACTGATGGGTGTGGAAAACAAACTTTTATGCACCAACCAATGATGCTACTTTTCACAATATTAACTCAAATGGTTTCAGATGGTAATATTTGAGATTGGCAATACCATCTCTGAAGTTGTTCGAAATTAACCAATAAGCTAAAAGAAAAAAATGGAGTTCTAACAAAGAACATAATAAAAGGACAAGATATTTTTTAGAAGAATAAAAGGATGAGATATACTCCTAACAAAGTGAAACTGGGAAGCAAGTAAAGAAGTAGGTCTCCCCATTACCCCCGGGCGTGGGGCAAGAAGCCATATAACCATAACACAAAAGCAACAATATATCCCAATGAATAGAGATCAAAAGCAATCTAAAAACTCCGGCATTCTTTTCAAGCCACAGAACCTACAACCAAATACACATAGATGCCTTCCATAATCTTTTCAGCTCCTTGCTCCTACCAAACTCATTTAGCAAAAGCTAAAAGGCAATGACAACTCCACGAGAAGGGGGCAAACCCACGAAAGATATCAAAAAGCCTTTCCTAAGCCTCCAAGCCACATCACAAGAAAAAACAAACAGTTATACTTATGAAAGCTCGTCACAACAAATATATGAAGATACGGTCAATTATATTACTGCCTGTAGCAGATCATTAGCGTTAATCCTCTTTGGGCAACAGTCCAACTGAAGACCTTAACCGTAAGGGAAGCGTTCATTTAAAAAAAAAACACTATTAAAGACCAGATGAATGGGATGGCATGTAGGGTATTCAAAGAAAGATTTACAAGAGTAGACACTAGTGGAGTTGATATGCCACACCTTTGAATCTGGTCTTGGAGCAGGAATGAAAGAATCAGGAAGGTTAAGCAAAGACATCAGCTCCAATATCTCCAGGCATTAAAGTTTTTTTTTTAAATAAAAAGATTTCTGGGCATTAGAGTTTCTGAATAGAATAAAATAAACTAATACTAAATTTGGCAAAAAAAAATGCGACATGAAAGTGGAGATATGGTGTTGTGATGGAAAGGAAGACTATAAAGACAAGGAGAGCGGGTTAAAGAAGAAGATTTGCCTAATGATCTATCTTCCTACAACAAGATGCCGGACCCATATCTGCAAATAGAGTACAGGCAGAAGGAAGCATAAACGTAAGAGATTGCTTCCAAAAGGCTACCGTAAGACATGGTAGTCCTGGCTTTAATATCCCATCCATTCTGGTCAAGCCCATAATAAGAAATCATAGAATATAACATGTGACCCTCATTCCCCTTGCTATTTTTTGGGCTGTAGGGAAAAAGAGAAATAGGAGGTATTTTGAGGAGGTGGAGGAGAATATATATAGGATTAGAAAGAGATAGTTTCAGACCCTAGGTCTTTTAGCTATGGGTCATCCTCTATCTTTTTTGGAGAATTTCAGGAATTTTATTGACTTTTTGATTGACATATAAATATTTTGTATACGGATTAGCATCTTCTTGGTGCTTGTATTTAGTGACATATACCACAATTTTATTTTTAAAAAATCATAAAATATAAATATACTAAACATTTTTTTAAAATAAAAATATAAATGAACTTGATATTTAACGGGTGAAAACAGATTGAAAAGTTCAAATGTAGAACTTAACCATGTAAAACAGAGTTCCAATACCAATATAATTCTGATCCTATGACCAAAATTTGTATATAAAATGCAGACCCACTATTAGATTCAATAAGATGAGGATGAATTCTAATTCAGATAAGATCTGATGCACCTAAATAGGTAGCACATAAAAGTTTGAGTAAGTCAAATAAAAACAGCTTCCAGAAAATGATCATATCACCTCGCACTTCCAAACAGAAGACAATATAACGCTAACATATTTCTAACACACAAGAAACCAGCAAGTGGAATTTTAGGAAGATGAAGCACCAGTAGAGAGGCTTGTAATTTTGTAAAAATGTTAAAATTTCATATGGTTCTTAGTTTGCTTGAAAGTCAATATCATCAGGAAGGTACTAAAAGAAATCCAAAATCAGCAACTACGGAAGGCCAACTCTAGCTAGACCAAAATACTGCTTTCTTTTTCCTGGGTTAAAATACAGAAATAAATCCTCTAAGCAAATGCAACAACATTCACAATCACTTCACTTTATAGCTTACCAACGTAGAAAACTAAGTAATTTTGATTGCAGTGGAAAAAAAAGATTACCTTGTGTAGATGAAAGGACATATCCCCAACTTCAACGATAATATCGCTAGGAAGCCCAGTTGCGCAGAACCTATTGGTTACAATTATAATGAGAGGTCAGAATTCAAACAGAGTACAACAAATAGAATAGCACAAAGAATGCACTTCATCTCCAAAAAAGAAACTTGGCATATACACATCCTTTGTAAACTCTTACATGCTGAAGAAAATCCACTAAATGTTGCTGTTTTGTTCAACCACACAACAGATCTGCAGTTTACTTGCAAATACAAATGACAAAATGATGAACTGATCCTAAGGTCCTGCTCCTACTGACCCAGTTTGATGAATACTCATCACAGCATAGTTAGAGTAGAATTTTTTAATAGATTATTGTTTTATAAAAAATTTAATAGACTATAGATGCATCTTTGCCATGCAGGTGGTTGTTGGAATTGATATTGATGATACACACTCAGAAAAGCTAGAAGCAAACAATATCTTTGGTATGCATAATTCCAGGTATGTTACGCATGCTAAGATGGCTGACCACTGTGCTTCAATCCTTTTCTTCGGGCAGTACGAATGCAACTAAATTATGTCGCAAGTACATGATTCAATATGGACAAGAACATGGCTGGACATGTTACTTCTGAAGTTACCATGATATGCAAGCGATCTTTCATATATGAAGGTTCAATCAGAAAGAGACTGTACTCATTGCCAGAAGTTATTACTTCAGTAGTTAATTCCTAAAGACAACAAACTCTTTAAATTAGCAAGACAAATGGAGCTTCTATCCCTCTTTACCCTTCCCTCCAAGCCCCAATCATCTAAGGGAAGAGAAGTTTGAAATTTTGTTTAAGTCATATAAGAAGTTTGTGCTAACTGTGTACTAACTGAAAACTTGTCCTCTTCCATTGAAGCTGCAGCATGCCCCATATTACAACCCAATAATGACCATAGTTTAAAGTAGTTAGACCTGTCACAAAATTGATACGAGAAAGCTCCGAGCAACATGCGAAAATAAGGAGTTGCCAGATATTTCCCAACAATATATGACCTGATGGTTCAGGAACAAACAAACAAAGTGACCATCTAGCTGATCCAATCTGTTTGAAGTGTCAAATCAAGCAACTAACAATCCAGCATATTGTTCATGTTACAGGCCTTCCAAAAAACCTGATCTACTCCTCATACTGACCTACTCAAACAAGCCAATTGCAAAATTGAAGTACATTCGTCTAATACATATCCATTTAGATAAATAAAATTAAGAATTATAAATAGAAATTCCATAATCTAAAAACAAAAGCTACTTAAACAAAAAGTAAATCTAAATGTATTAGACGAAGTTTCAGTGTCAACTAGAACTTATTTTGAGGCTCACGTCACAACCAAAGCATCTAAAATCTATGCATGGAAAATACCCACATGAGTTTCAAAAGAAATTTAAGGAAAGAAAACACAAGACAAAGAAAATACAATAATAGGGCTAAGTAACAGAGATCAGGAAACATACCAGGCTTGCCCTTGCCTCTGGAAGGCGTCAGATTTGGAACCCAGTTTCATACAAGCCATTTTTTTCACAATGGAAATTCCCCAACCCCAAACCAGACCAGAGTTTAGGACTATTGGGGCTGAACTGCAACCCAGTTTCCCAAATACCAAAACCCCAAAGGCCTCGACCTAAGTTCTGTAAACTCTGTGAAAATCTTCAAGCAAAACTTAGAATGCAAAGAATCTCCCAAAATGGATAGAAGATATACCAAATAAGAGACCGATTTCTTCAAAAAACATTATGTCAGTTCCATAAAAGAAACCCTAAAAACCACTCCAACATGACATAGACATACCCCATTTTCTTAAAACAAAATTGAATTCCAAAAAATTCCCTAACAGAGACCCCAATCTCAGACTTGCTCGAGATACCGACACAAAGTTTAGGTCAACCCCTCCAACTATGTCCCAGAAAATAAAGAAACCCTCATCTAGTTACAACCAACAATGTCATAGTTTATTACAGCAGAAGCCCGACCGACCAGGGAGATTCCAAAAATTCGAACTTGATGGAATCAGAAGGGACGAAACCAAAGCCAGTCATAACCCATTAAAGAAAAGAAGCAACCCAATTCAGTCCCCTTAAAATAATAATGTGTTCAAAGGCATGATGATGAGGGAGATAAAGAAAGGACAAGCAAAGGGGCTTTGAAAACTGGACATGGGTATTAATGGCAGCTCTGGAAGCACATGCATGGTGTGGGTCCCTTCAATTTGAAGCATACTCATTGGGTTCTTTTAGAAGTTTGTGTTACATTACATTATTGCAAGTTTAATCCGTAAAAATACTCCAACCGAAACATCAAACTGTTTTATAATACAAACAATTAACTCCAAATAATCTTTTTCTTCTTTTTGGTTCTCTCTGATCTTTCCTACCAACTTCAATGACAACCATGGAGGTCCAGCCAGGCCATGTGGGTGTTTTCTTACTAAAAGAAAATTAGGTTTTTCTTGGCGGCACCACAGGATGTGTAAGTAGCAATCAGTCAACATGCCCTTAGGGTTCATCTATTATTTCTTACCATTTGTAGTAAATTTTTTAAGTGATTGGAGTACTATTACCATAAGTAATTACTGGAAAAAGCTCATAACTTTTTAAATTTATTATGGTTCTTTATTTTATACATATATATTTTTATCGAATATATAAAAATCAAAACTAAAAGTATCATATAATTACAATACCTAACTTAATGTATTTATATGTTTTTTTATCTAATATAAATAAGATATATTTTTCTAGAGGTACACAAAAAATTATAAATTAAATTACCCACAAAATTTGTAAAATTAATAGTAATAATAGCATAATAATTCTCTATATTATAATGGGGTATTATAGATACATATATATCATAATAATTCAATATATATATATATAGGAAGCTTGAAGAAGGTTGTAGACATTATAAACACGCATGCTCCTATATATATATATATACATATGGTTAAAAAAAAAAAAAAGAAAGTGCAAAATTTGGAATTATATTTTACTTTTTTCTTTTATAAGGAGGCAAAAAAGCATTCCATGTCCAGGACAGTGTCCTCCGGGAGATAATCACGCGCGCCACGCGCCACGCGCCAACGTTTAATTATTTTTAAAAATAAAAATAAAAAGTGAAAAGTACGAAGAAAAATTGGCAGGGGAGGATTTACTTTAAGATTTTGACAGAGTCTTTGCTTAGCTTTTGGGAAACGCTTTTCAATTCTCAAGATACTTTAGAAACATCATCATCAATACATACAATATATATATATATGTATGCATGTATATATATTTTTATATATATATATGTATATACCGGAACCTGCCTAGAAAATTCACTGGACCCTTAAATTCAGCAAAGTGATATATTAAGTGGGTGATCATATATGTATATATGTATATATATATATATAAGATGACATATTATTTACTAATAATATATATTAAATAGTAAATAGTTATTCCAATTAAAATTATTTAGATTATATAATAATAAAAAGGTACTAAATTTTCTTTCCTTTGTATTTTCCTTTTTCACTTTTTTTTTGGGTCTTATTTATATTATATAATAATTAAGAAAACTATAATCTTATTTCATTTTTTAAAGGTGTCAGTATGTAATTTAATACAATTTTTGTTTATTTTAATTTATTTTTCTATATCTTATTTATATTCTCGTGTAATAAATTATTAATCTTTTTATCAACAACTGGGTTTAATGTGAATTTCGATATACGTAACAGACGATGATTTTATTAGTATTATTTAAAAATGATTAATTATATTTAAACGATTATGAATTTTAATATATCGAATTTAAATATGAATTTATAATATGTGCATATATCATATTTTTAATTTTTTATTTTATAATATGTAAATTAAAAAATAATAAAAATTGATAATATAAAATACGGTTATAATTTCAAAATTATACGTACGTTTAATTTATTTTATATTATCCTAACAGTTATGAAAAATTAATATTTTACAGTCACGTGTTAGTTTAAAAAATCTACCACATGACGTAAAGATCTATTTTGTCATGAATTCATGTAC